CGCGATATACGTATATTATGACAGTATAGCTTTCGCGGTATACGTATATTATGACAGTATAGCTTTCACGATATACGTATATTATGACAGTATAGCTTTCACGATATACGTATATTATGACAGTATAGCTTTCACGATATACGTATATTATGACAGTATAGCTTTCACGATATACGTATATTATGACAGTATAGCTTCCTCGGTATACGTATATTATGACAGTATAGCTTCCACGATATACGTGTATTATGTCAGTATAGCTTCCACAATATGTATATTACGACAATATAGCTTTTTCGATATACGTATATTACGACAGTACAACCTCCACGATATATGTGTATTATGACAGTATAGCTTCCACGATATACGTATATTATGACAGTATAGCTTCCTCGGTATACGTATATTATGACAGTATAGCTTCCTCGGTATACGTATATTATGACAGTATAGCTTTCGCGATATACGTATATTATGACAGTATAGCTTTCGCGATATACGTATATTATGACAGTATAGCTTCCACGATATACGTATATTATGACAGTATAGCTTCCTCGGTATACGTATATTATGACAGTATAGCTTCCTCGGTATACGTATATTATGACAGTATAGCTTCCATAATATACGTATATTATGACAGTATAGCTTCCATGGTATAAGTATATTATGACAGTATAGCTTTCACGATATACGTATATTATGACAGTATAGTTTTTCGATATATGTAACATTAGAAAACTGTTGCACGATAAAAAATATGATTAGTAAAAATTCACCAATATATAGTTCACATTAAATATTAGTTCCTACTCTGCTTAACGCTTTACTTGTCTGTTTCATTTAAACACACTTGCACTCTTGAAAGCTGTTAAATATCTTAATTATGACAAATGAAAGTCTTTGAAGAATACCGTTTTCGGAAAATTTTAGTTTTATCAGAAGAATAGCGTGTCGGGCTACAGATCGGTAAGTCCCAAGTTCGATCAGTGATATGCCGCTGTACATGCACCACAGTTATCATAACTGTGGCTATCAATCCTCCTATTCGGTTAAGAGTAGCCGCATAAAAAGCGGCGGGTTCTGCTGATTGATTGCCCTCCATCTGGTTTGCAGTTTTAAATTGGTATGACCATGTCTGAACCTCTTAATGATTGAAATACTGGGGAATTTCACCATTCTTTGACTAGTGTAGAATATATCTTATTCAGGTATATTGTAGTGATATTTTTTTATACAAATGTTCATGCAGTTTCTGCGTATAGTTAGTTACGACATTCGCGTTGACTGAATATATCATAACAAATAACACCCAACGTTAAAATAGGTACACAATTAATAACATTTTAATTAAGACCGATCTATGACCATTAAAAAGTTGACTCTACATGTTTCGACCTTGCAACGTCATCTTCAGGAGTGAGTTGCAAGACATAATCGTGTCTTATGTATATCTTTTTTTTTTTGTTGTTGTTAAACTGGTCATATCACCTATGTACAGCCATAAATGATGCAAAATGTAAACCTGATATTTGGATAAGATATGTAGATGACACATTCTTGGTGTGGAGATATGGTAATAAGGCATTAATTGAGTTTGCGTGCTATTCGAATAGCATCGAACTATCTATACAATTTACTTATGAAATTGAGAAAAGTAACAGTTTGCCTTTCCTAGATGTATTAGTAAAAAGGAATTTACAAGGTAATCTAGAAACATCTATTTTTCGGAAACCCTTTTCCGTTGTGATGCTTACACACCGTGAATCATGTCATGTTATATCACAAAAATATCTGCGTTTTACACGTGTATCCATAGAATTTTGGAGATATGTACTAAACAAGAAGACTTAAAAATTAGTTATTATTAATGAAATTTGTAGCAGCTGAAAGAAGATTTAACCCGAATATTATAGATAGAGCTGTCAAGAAATTCACTAATGTGGTAACGACTGAACAAAGTTTTACTTTAAAACCCAGTTATAAAACAAAAGGAAGCTTTAATTTTGCCAATACTCCAAGTTTAACTAATAATTTATTTAAAGTGTTCAGACAACAACAAATATATTATTCTGTATCTAAACTGATTACTAACATAAAGCAAAATTTAGGTAATACTAAAGATAACATACAATTAATGGAAAAAAACAGGAATCTATAAAATTGAATCTGAATGTGGAAATAATTATATTGGACAGATAAACGTGATTTAAAATATCGTTTAATGAAGCATAAAGGATATGTAAGAAATAAACAAAACAAAAATGAAAATTCAGCCATAGCAGAACATGTACATGAAACACAACATATGGTAATGTGGGAAAAAAACTGTAATATTAGCTCAACCAAAAGATATTATAGCCAATAATATTCGTAAATCGTTGGAAATAATAAATATAAAAATATCATGTATTATTATGTGGAGATAAAGGTCCGGCGAATATTTATGCAAAAATGTGGAGTGACCTTCCCTAAAATGTTCACGTGGGAATTGTAAACCTGTAGATAGGTCATATGACCTATTTAACAAAAACAAATAATATATATATATATATATATATATATATATACATACATAAGACACGATTATGTCTTGCAACTCACTCCTGAAGATGACGTTGCAACGTCAAAACATGTAGAGTCAATTTTTTAGTGGTCATTGATTGACTTTAATTAAAAAAATTTAAATTATGTATCTGTTTTAACGTTTTATGTTATTTATTATCTTAACATTATACACAAGTGCCAAGAAATAATACTGAATATATCATAGACGTAAACATGTGTCCTTAAGTCTCAAGCTAGCGTGTACGTATTTCTGTATTGATTTCTTGGAAGATGGCCAATTCATAGAGACAATACATAAGCATGTACACCTGGCTTGGCGTAAGGTTTCAAGTAGAAGAATGGTTGGAGCATGTAGCCTGTGGAATATCTAATTTTCTTTGTTTCGCTGGAGCAAAACATAAAAACCCGGGTGTTTCTATAGACCAGTATCTCGACCAACATCTGTTGACTAATCTTTGTTGTCAAACCCCGGTCAACCCTAGTAACTAGACGAAACGGAAGAAAAAGAAGCTCGATCGGGTTGGGTAACATAACACTTTGTTTGCGTCGGAATAAAGATTTTGTGTTACGAACTACGCTTGTATTTGTTTTGCTTTACTGTCCCTAACCTGCCTGTTGCGGATTTTCTGTTGGTTATTTTGCTTTAAAGGTCTCTGTCTTGACCATTTAACTCACTTGTTGTTTAAATTCCTTTACGTTTAGGTTGAAAGTATCGAATAACGGACCAGATGTATCATTGTCATATCCATAACTGTTTGTTAATTAGTAAATTGTACATGACTTGCATGGATGCTAGTGAATTCATAGCAGCACCATAAAATCTAATCAACTTATATTCTCACACAGTTATTATTAAAGATCGCCAACACTGTTCACCATATACAGGTTATTGTTGAAAACGTTATTTTTATTTATAGGTGTGGCACGGCTTGATGGTTAGGGCGCTCGACTATCAATCTGCGGGTCGCGGGTTTGAATCTTCTTCACCGAACAAGCTCGCCCCTTTTACGAGTGGGGGCGTTATAATGTGACAGGCAGTCCCACTTTTCGTTGGCTGTGGATACTGACTTCCCACTATTCTTTTACTGCTAAACTAGGGACGGCTAGTTCTAGACCCCAGTTTTCTTATAAAATATGAAAAGAGTATAAAGAAAAAGAAACAATGTATGATACCCCATTACTTAATAATAAATACGTAACATATATGTCGTTTTGATAATACGTATTTCATTCAGAAATACAGCTTAAGGCAGTTACTACTAAGGGTTAATCGAACTTTATAAGAACAGTGTTTCGGGTATCGTGGTTCTCTTGGAATTACTACTTTCATCTTTGATAATGGTCTTTCTATTGACCATGATTATCCACCGTCGCAACTTACACTTTAAACAAGATTCTTGCGATGAACGTAAGACCAGTCTTAGACCACTTATCTTGAAACTTTCGCACTGTTCATTGATGTCAGTTTCCACGATCACGTTTAAGCAGACCAAAGGCACAGAAGTCCATTGGATGAATTAGATAGCTATATGGTCGAATGTGGTTGCTATGATTCCAATTTCATTGGTCATGTTTATTATGGCCTTTGAGTCTTTGTCAACTTTAAATCATTGTTTATTATCTGGTTAACAGTACCAGAAGAGAATGTGGTCATCTTAATCGTTGTTGGTCTTTTGGGGGGTCAAAGAGTTTTCTTAACCGTAACCTTCGTTTTATGGGGATGATGGCGACAAGTTACTGCATATTGAAACGGTTCTTGTAAAGCGCGATTAACCCTAGAATCATCAATTTTTCGTTCTTTTATATAATTTATTATTCTTAGTATAGGAGGAAAATGGAAAATAAAGATCTGTGCAGCTTTCACAATGTACGAGCCTTTTAATATTATTATGTTTAAAGTTTAGATGATAGGTCTTCCAGATACAAAATATCGTTTCGTGCAGTTTGGTCAGTAAACACCATAATACTGGTTCATAGAGTGTTGAGGTACAGAATGAGTTTGTGTCTGAAGTTAGTCGAGATTTTTTTGTTTCTCTACATAATACACACCTTTAAAACGTAATTATTTGTTTCGGTTATAGTGTTTTTAATTATATTTAACTCCCTGAATATCGAATATTTTGTTTTCGGTTATAACTCGTGTTTGTATTTTCAATTCCAAAATTAAGTTCTGCGGACATTAAAGTAGTTTCTACTGTGCATATTTATTTTTTTTTACTGTGTTTCGGCATTTAAACGTATTTGGTCTTATAGTATATACGTTTATTTTGCTGTATAGTTTCACGTGTTAAGTTGTACAGCTTATACGCGTACTTGAAGAGCACGACATTTGTGTGATGTTGTGCTAAATATGCGTTTAAAAGGTAGAATTTTTTTGGAGGTACAGTTTGGCATATGTTTTATGTTTTAGCTCGACAATTGTTGTTCAGTAAAAGTTTGGGACTGGGCGTGGCCTAGTAATAAGCGTGCCCGAACTGTGAAGCCTAGGGTTCGCGGCGAAAGCGCGCTGCGGATTTTGGGGTCCTATAGGAGTGGTGATCAAATCTTACTATTGGGTCGGACAATAGTAGCTCGAGTTTTAGCGGTGGGTGTTGTTGACATGCTACCATCCATTTAGTATATATCGTTTCACAAATAGACATGGCTATGCGCAGATAGCCCTGACGTAGCTCTGTTAATTTAACACTAAGTTACGGTATTCGTTCTCATGGAAAGTGACTAACTTTAACATCCTACAGAGTATTGTAGAATTCAGCACCGAGAGCAACTTATATTCGATATATTTTAAAACTGCTCCGAGTCGTTTTTGTTTTTTCAACTCACTTCTGTTAAAAACAATTGCTCATATTTATGGCAAAGAAGTGTCAGAGCGACAGTTTTGTTTGTTTGTTTTTGAAATTCGCGCAAAGCTACACGAGGGCTATCCATGCTAGTCATCCCTAATTTAGCAGTGATAGACTAGAGGAAAGGCAGCTAGTCAACACCACCCACTGCTATCTCTTGGGCCACTTTTTTAGCAACGAATAGTGGGATTGATCGTCACATTATAACACTCATACAATTGAAAGGACGAGCATGTTCGGTGATGGAACTTCGAACCCGCGACCCTAACCGCCAGGCCGACAGTTTTGCATCATGAGTTATAGATGAATTAATCTAATTCGTGATAAGCGGTACATTTTGACTGGGAGGGGGGTGTTGATAAATAACCCCTTTTCTCTTGATAAACAGAACAGCTTTAGTATCCACTCTGTTATTATCTTATTACATAAAGATTCGTATATTGCGTGTGTTAAGAGAACTGTGTGTTTTGTGTTTAATCACAGGGATGAGGCCGCTTCACTATTCATCATGGCAGGGTAAACCGGGTCCAGTAACCTTACTTCTTCAGTACGACGCTTCTGTTAACGAGCCAGACAATCACGGGGATACACCTCTCCATCTCGCCTGTCAACACGGCCACGTAGACGTGGTAAGCAAATAGTGGTACTTTTGGAAGTCTCGCGAATGGAGTCTTTTTTTTTTACAGATTCAAACTTTTGTGCTTGCAAAGTCACATATTTTTTTTTTTAGTTTATTTCGGCGGACCACAATGGGATTTACACATTATGCTGGCCCTTTCTTTCCGTAATTATGTAACCTTTACGTGAGTGAGATCCGCTGGTGTTGTGTTGAAAATATTGTAACTGTAATAATTGATGTTAATAATTGACAATAATATCGTAAGAAGTTTCCATTGTGTGTTTAGTGATTTTAAAAACAGTAAACTTGTCTTGATTTACCTATATACGTAGGCCTTCTATTACAGTAAGTACTTCGAATTTAATGATTTACTCATATTTTCCTATGTTTTTAGGGCACTTGTTATATTTCCTTCAATTTGGGGTAAAGCCATGTTTTCTACTATAATATTCCTAGCAAAAAAGGTACACAAGTCTTAGAAATTCAAGTTCCGGGTTAGGGCAGTTTATGAATTGCCGATAATTCAATATTTTATGCAATAGTGCACTACTGATTACTCTTTTTACTTTTTCAATCAATCTATTCATGATCTATATTAGAGCATTAGATATTATATTTCTATCATATGAGAGTTTTTATTTTTTATTTTTTGCTTTCATATAAAATATTTCTATGCTTTCCGTACAATTTCCTATTTACTCTTATACATATAAATTTATAAATTCTTATATTTCCTACATTTTGGATGATAAGTCCTGGGCATTTTGTGATCGTACTTCAAGAAATATAATCTAATACTATGAATTATTCTCTAGGCTTGCCAGCTGCTACGTCGTAGTGCCAACCCAAGTCAGCGTAATCTCGAACACAAAACACCTCTAGATTTGGCCTGTGAATTCGGGAAGCTCAAGGTGTGTAGTGACTGATATAGAGTTTGTATAGTGTTGCTTTCACTGTTTCCTCCTGTTATCGTAAAGAAAAAATAAAGTAATATTTGTTAACAAAGTAATGTGGAGTCTTTAGCTATATAAATATATGTATATATATTCTTCGGGTCCTGTGTTGGAACGTATTTTGGGGCAATAAGTACTTATACTTGGAGTGCTCCTTTTCTTCTTTCTTTCTTTTTTTTTTAGTGGCATTATATGTGCAGATTTGATATATAAAACTATATTATTTTTCTCGTATTTCATACTTCATGCTTATACTTGGAGTTTTCTTTTGTTTGTGGCGCCATCTATCAGCATTTGCATCAGATCAAGAAAACTCTAATTATATTTTTCATGTATGTCGGGTTTCGTACTTGAACAACTTTTAGTAGAATACCTGAAAGTGAACAGTATCTCTTTAAGTATGAAATTAATTACTTTCCATAATGATTAATCTATATCACGTCACTAGAATAATCTGGATTTTTTTTTATCTGACATTTTCCGTTTTCTTTATTTTCAGTACTTTTTATGGGCTTCATTTATTTAGCAAATCAATAAAGCGGTTCCATTTTTTTTTACGCGTAATACAAAGCACAATGAGAGAAAAGAATCAATTGTAAACGTAAATTAATTTCAACATTTTGAATTTGGTGCAAAAATAAATGTGTAAAACGTACCTTTAGATATTTCTTAAAATATAACTGTATGTAAAATGTTCGAGTTGTTAGATTGAGGAAAAAGGGACTAACTCAACGTTATTCTTAATCCGCGTGTAAATCTCAATGCTATTTAGGGTCTTTGCTTTTAGTATTTAACTCTCTTATTCGTTTAGTTGGTCAAATCACAAAGGTCTACCTTCTGGAACAGCTGGGTTTATCATTTTTCGTTATTCTGTATTTTCTGTTTATTTATTATACGTATATCTTTAAAGGGCCCGGCATGGCCAGGTGGTTAAGGAGGTCGAATCCCCGTCCCACCAAATATGCTCGCCCTTTCAGCCGTTCGGGCGTTATAATGTGACGGTCAATCCCACTATTCGTTGGTAAAAGTGTAGCCCAAGAGTTGGTGGTGAGGGGTGATGACTAGCTGCCTTCCCTCTAGCCTTACACTGCTAAATTAGGGACGGCTAGCGCAGATAGCCCTCGTGTAGCTTTGTGCGAAATTCAAAAACAAACAAACAATTATATTTAAAGAACACGAATCTTGAAGCAGCTTGTGTTACTTAAGATGACCGAAATTGCTCGTGTGACTGTCATTATAATATCAACAAAAATTACGTTTTGTTTTTTTGTTTACTGCTACGTTTGTTGGTAGTTACATAGTAGACTGAGGATCACTTTGACGTCATTGGTGAATGGAAGTTATAGGGTTCGAACTCCTGTTTACGTGTCTGTATTTAAATGCAAGTTTGATAACCTGGTTGCTGTGAGACACTTCATGTGTGACACACCAACTTCAAATTTTATAACGTGGTTGCTGTGAACTGGTATATGAAACTTCATGTGTGACACATCAACTGCAAGCTTTATAACCCTGTTGCTGAAGGTTGGTGTGTGAAGCGTCATGTGGGACACACCAGTGAATAGGAATTACAGGTTACTTGCCTAATAGTATGTACGTGTATGTAAATATGTGAATGTTTTTTTATAATGACATGACGGAAAACTATTACGCTTCTAATCATATTATGTGTCTAAATCTGTAAGCATTGCTTTGTTCCTTGCCGTGGTAAATGGAAGTTATACATGTTTAAATTATGTGTGTTAATTTGCGTGTTTAGTAGAATTCATGTGTTTAATCATATGCGTTTATTCGTGTCTGACTCATTTGTGCCTTGTATGCAATTTGTTTGTTTATAGTTAAACACAAAGCTACATAATGGACTACCTGTGCTCTGCCCACCACGGGTATCGAAACCCGGTTTCTAGCGTTGTAAGTCCGCAGATATACCGCTGTACTACCCTGCTTACGTGAAGTTGATTTCATTTCTTGAGACAAACCATTAATTTTCTTGCACAAAATTCCGTTTTGTTTGGTGTGTAAGTTTTCTGTGTTAATTAAACTATAAGCTTAAAACAGTATTTAGTTTAGTTCCAAAATTTAGTAAAATTAAATACCTTTGTATGTTAATTCCTCTAGGTTGTTGAAGTTCTACTCCAGACTGGACGGTGTCACTCGTTACTAGAGGAAAGTTCTCTCGACATTCTGGACAATGATCGTACCACACCTATTCACCTCGCTGCGAAAAATGGACATCTTGACGTCATCAGGTAAAGTGGTCAAATGTTTTTATATAAATGTGGGTATAATGTTTTGGGGAGATTTCTTATGGATACAATTCTCCCATCGCGCATGGTAAAAGATAATGAAATTAATTAGCCTGCCTACCACCCCTGTAACATAATTACTTATTAAGCAGTCCACACGTGACAAGCAGGTGGTAAAAAAAATACCATAGTTGGTTATCTAAATCAACTGAATACTTTCTAGTGAAAACACGTACACACAAGTCTCAGTTAATTAAAGACTAAAGAAACATCTCACTTTCTGAGGTATTTGAAGAAGTAGTAAATTGTTGGTGAATGAATGAAACTTATCTTCTAATCGTTTAGCAACCACATATACAAACAAAAATTGATTAGTTGTGGTCAAATCCTTGCTAGGGATTTACCGTACCTGTGAAGTTTTCAATGAGTCGAAGTCCCTCATTTTTACTGGTTTTTTTTGTTGGTTACTGAATGGTAACCAACAAAACTTGGTTACCATTCAGTTTGAATAATATAGATAGTTACTTCAACTGGTGGGGATTAATAAGTAATAGAAAAGATTAGCATCTATTAATACTTATACTCAAGTGATCGTTGCGGTTACTAACTTAGACAACGATGGTAAACGTTATATTATGCATAGCGCACAAAAGGATGTATTATTGTCGTTGTCGGATAAGTATATGGGTACTTTCCTATTGAAAGTGGGGCTAATGCCCCGTAACCTGAGATAGTACCCTACGTTGTCACAATAGCATTTTTCTGAAGTTTTCAATATATATGTATCACAGTTTTTACTTCTTCAAAAAAACAACAAAAAATTAACTTCAGTTCACAGAACGGGGGTTAAAACTAGACCACCCGTGACCCGTTGGGTCACCCACTATTCAGAGATTTCAAGAATTCAAGCTAATTTCAATACTGCGCCGATATGAAGGTTTATTTTGAGATAATTTAATTCAATATTTCAATCCATTTGTGTTATTAAATAATTCAAGAAAATATATTTGATTGTTGATCGGAAGTAAAAGGAAATACCATTTCATTTTTCAACGAAGATGGGAACATTGACAGGGAAATAGATTTGAAGGAAGTAGGTTCGTAAAGAGCGCGAACGGTAGGGTGATGTAAAATTACTCTTGCTAGAAATTTTCATAAAAGTGACCCGAAAAACGGCGCTAACTCGGTAATCCGTGGCCCGATTTTAACGAAACTTGTTTTATTCTCATTTCATTACAAATACGGCGCTATAGTGCGCCGTTTTTGCTGTATTTAATTACATACAAGCCAACAAACAAACAATCTCAGAGTTTTAGTAGTATATAGATTAATCTTCACATAATAAACAACCATCAGCTTGCCCTGTGTACTGTGGCAGGGCGAGGAATTCATGAGCTTGCCTTATGTACTGTGACAGGGAGAGGAAACTGTCAGCTTGCTTTATGTACTGTGATAGGGAGAGGAAACTATCAGCTTGCCCTGTGTACTGTGACAGGGCGAGGAATTCATGAGCTTGCACTGTGTACTGTGACAGGAAGAGGAAATCATTAGCTTGCTCTGTGTACTGGGACAGGGCGAGGAAACTGTCAGCTTGCCCTGTGTACTGTGACAGGGTGAGGAAACCATCAGCTTGCACTGTGTACTGTGACAGGGAGAGGAAATCATCAGCTTGCCCTGTGTACTGGGACAGGGCGAGGAAACTGTCAGCTTGCCCTGTGTACTGTGACAGGGCGAGGAAACTGTCAGCATGTCCTGTGTACTGTGACAGGGCGAGGAAACCACCAGCTTGCCCTATGTACTGTGTCAGGGCGAGGAAACCATCAGCTTGCCCTGTGTACTGTGGCAGGGCGAGGAAACTGTCAGCTTGCCCTGTGTACTGTGGCAAG